GATTGGCTCCACTGGCTGGCTGGAAAGCTCTTCGGATTTATCCGTCTCCACCTCCTCAGCTCTACAGTTACAGACATGTGTGGCCACACCTGGCTTTTTATGTGGGTGCTGGGGATCTGAATGTGGGGATCATTATGATTGCTTGGCAAGCACTTCCCCCACTGAACTATCTCCTCAGCCCCATGGGAAGAGTTATTTTAAAACGAAGTTAATAAGTGAGCTACAACTGAATGTGATAGGTTTCTGTCCACCTGTAGGGTGACCCTGACTTAGGATGCTCCACTTTATAATTGTATAAGAGGGATGCATCCATTTAGTGGAAACAGTCTGTGAATTGAATCTGGATCTTTCCGTGGGCTGGTGGTAGGCAGCACGACGTTCTCTGGTGGTCACAGGAGAACAGATATGCCAGCATTCGCTGTCGCTGCCTTGAGTACAATAGACTGGAGGGGGGCGCTTAGTTGCCGTTTTAGAGGTGTGATGGGGCTATATCATGATGATCTCATCTAAGTCAAGAGCCACGTTCATTCCCAAAGTCCCTGACATCTTCCTGGAGGCTCTGGTGTCCATCTGAGTTATTATGTCCTAGTTGTGGGCTATAAGGTCAAACACTGGATCGGTGAGGGCTGAGCAGTTGCTGTGATGGGGAGGGAGCAAGGACCCAGCGAGTTTCTGGTTGTACTCTGGGCCCTGTGAACATCACACACTCACTCTCCTGTGAGCCACAGCATCTCTGTCCCAGTAGCACTTTTGTAGTTAAGATGCTATTTGTCTTACCTGCGTTCATTGTTAGCATCCTTCTAAAACAAACCGACATCATCAGCACTGAAGATTCAATTTGCCTCATAACTGTTGTCCCATACAATTCTTACTGGGTTTTTAGCTACCATTTTTTCCCCCATCTATAACCTCAGTTTTACTTATCCTTTCAATCACATAATGAAGTGGAAGCCTTAAAATAAACACACACACACATCACCTTGGGAATCTGAGAATCGTGTATTTGGTTTCTTTTCTCACATGTATTTTGGTTTGCACTTTCTTCTAAAACAAATTTTAAAGTGATACTGGAGAGATGCTCAGTGGTTAAGTGCACATAATGCTCTTGCCGAGGACCCGAGTTCAGTTCCCAACACCCATATCGGGTAGTTCACAAACACCTGTACCTCTAACTCTATGGACCTGAAACCCATTTCTGGATTCCAAGGGTACCTGCAAATACACACACACACACACACACACACACACACACACACACACACAC